ACGATGGAAATCTGTCCACTAGATTCTGGAGCACCTCAATTTCACTTGAACTTCCCAAAGATATCCTTCAGCCGTTTTGCATCGTCTTTCTCCCACTTAGTGACGCGGCGCCCTGGGGTGATGCAGTCCCTTCGCCGCCATCTTCTTTTCCCCTTCCTATTGTCTATCTTAAAAATCCAAACACTTCTGGTATTTCAGATAAGAGATACTGAATCTGTATTTTATAAAAAGGCCACAGATGGGTAGCCCACTGGGCTATTACTTGTATTCTAAACTGTACCCCAGGTCTGGACTTTGCTTCTTAACATGTAATGACCTGTGTCTCACCCTGTTAAGTCCTGTATCTGTGCAGACCAGCTCAAATTTGATTTTTGTCTGAAATACTTTTTCTTTTAAGACAGACACACCATGAGTAGCTCTGCCACTTTTATTCTCTGGTAGCAGATTTAAGTAAAAATAAAAGGGAGCCTTTTACTTCAAGGAAAAAAAAAGAATACGTCAGTAAACACCTCTTAAGAGCTGTATGTTTTCCTTGGAGACTAAAATGATTCAGAAAATCTTTTATTCTGCCAAGAGGGGAAAAAAGGTTGATACCGTGGATAAAGAGAAGCCAGCTGGCTATCAGGGCAGATAGAAAACCAGAAAGGTAATTGACCAGGCATGATGGCACACACCTGCAATCCTAGCTACTTGGGAGACTGAAGCAGGAGGATCTCAAGGCCAGCCTGGGCAACTTAGCATGATCCTATGTCAAAAAGGTCTGGGGTTAGCTCAGTGGTAGAATGCTTGGCTTGTCTAGCATGTCRGAGGCCCTGAGTTCAATCCTCAGTACAGGATTTCAAAAGGGGGTGGGTGGAACTGGCTGAGGGTTTGTGTACAGAGTAGGAAATACTAACCTACACAGCAGTTGTTTTCCATCTGTCCTTGCAGAGACAAGTATAGGAAGGGATTCTACATTGGAACCATAAGAGTTTTTCCCCCCTCGAAACACACTAGTTCTTCATGGTAAGATTCTGTACAGATCCTTTAGCACCATTTATGACCAAAACTATGGTTCATTAAATTCTTTTGGGCTAACTGGGCACCAGCAAATCTGTTATAACATTGAAATATCTATTTTCTGATAAAAACAAATAGCCAACCTATCAATGTGCCCCATGTGGAAAGCACATAATGTATTTAAGGAAAAATTTTCATATAGGTATGACTTAGGGTCCTTGGGAGAGTCTTCAGAGTGTTAGATGAATACTGACATGTGCCTAAGGCACCTCATAGTTCCAGAAGGCCAGGGCCTATTTTGGAGCCTGGCCCTTTTAGAACATACCTATAAACTAAGTCATAGCTACTAAAAGAGGGTGAAGGCTCACTTTAGCTATGTAGTAAGTCAGCTTGATATAGTAAGGACAAGCAGAAAGAAGCATTCTGGGGTAAAATATCTTATTCTCTCCATTCAAACAAATGGGTACAGTGTTGCCTGGTTAAGATCCAAGTCTTTGTACAGGAATCCTGAGTCACTATTATGAAATAATCTTGACCCACTACAGCTCCCAGCAATTCTTTGCTGCCGTGGATCGTGATATAGCCCTTAGGAGTTTGTTGACCTTCCTCTGATTTTTCAGGGGCATCCCCTGAGGTAGTAGGAATTGTCAGACTGGTAGCCGTTGAGCCCAATGAGAAAAATCAACAGTTTGGTCTGGGCTAACTATGTAGAACAATTCTCATCATGTTGGTTTTCATGCATATCCTTAGTGTTCTAGTACATGACGGTGATTTGTTATATAAGTCACAGGAGTTTGATGTGTGAATAGAATTTGTCTGAGGTTAGGTGATATTTATTGCATCACTAGTATTAATTTATTGAGGAAAAGAGCAGAACTTTTATATTTTTTGATCACATTGTGTATTATAGAACATGATTAATAAAATTATTTTCACTTCAGATGAAGATTTTTCAAGATGTTAAAGTGCCAAAGGCATTTTTTACTATCTAATCTCTCTTAAAAGTGACAGTTTAAAGCTCAAGCTAGTGTGCAAAATCATACTTTCATGTACATACACACTGCTATCAGTAAATGTTGATTTTAACTTGATTTTGCTGAATTTGTTGCCTCATTTTAGGCAGCCAATCCAGGATGTATTCTGGAAGATTTTGTGAGATGGTATTCACCCCGGGACTATATTGAAGAGGAGGTGATTGATGAAAAAGGTGATGTGATTCTAAAAGGAGAGCTGAGTGCCCGAATGAAAATTCCAAGCAATATGTGGGTAGAAGCCTGGGAAACAGCTAAACCAATTCCTGCTAGAAGGCAAAGAAGGCTCTTTGATGATACACGTGAAGCAGAAAAGGTAATTTAGTGTTGGGTCTCCAATACTAGCATGCTCATTATTATTCTTAAACCTTAGAAACTATCATAGACAGAGCTTTGGGCACATGTGACAAGCAAAGCATTGAAATTTAATGAGCCTTTTTATATACCTAGTATTCACATTTAAGTTTAAAACTAGTTGCAAGTAGGACAGTGAAAAGACATTCATAGTTTATATGAAATGCTTACCATTATACTGCATTAAAATATATAAGATTAAAAATGGGCATGTCATTTATTAGTGAGAAATAAACTTTGTCAAACAGCATTTATAGACAGATCTTTTAATGAAACAACTGAAGTTTCTAAAAATAGGGGTTTCAATAAATTATGTATAACAATCTTATGGTTCCATAAGATAATGGGGCCAAAAAACATCTATTACTTAGTGTTATAACCATCAGAACATTTTAGTGCAGGGCATTTATTACTCACATGTGTGGTGTTAATACCAAACCAATTGTGCTGCCCCTGTATAGCACGTAAATTATAAGCAGTATGTAATACTTTATAAATAGATCACTGTGTTGGAGATGTATTTTACAACTATACTATTTWAAAAAAAAAAGTTACTGCAAACAGCCATATTACACAGGTAGCAACCTCATATGTCATGTTTACTGTGTCTCTTGATTGCAATACCATTGAGGTTTGTGTAAGTCTGTAATGTTCATACACAATGAGAGACTAATGATGCATTTCTCCTAACATCCCTGTCATTAAGGGACGCATGACTGTATACAGAGAAGGAATGATGTCCATTGAAAATAAGAAGGGAAAATTACGGATAGTGCAGAAATTAAAGAACAAGAGGACTAGCTTCTCCTACCTAACCCCTTTCCATTTAAGAAGCCATGCCAAAGAGGGCACTTTCAAACTGTGACATTACCAGGAATATAAAAAGACCCCATTCATACAAACTATGCAAAGCAGATCATTTTAGCAGTCACAAAGCAAAAGAAAATTGTAACATACTCCAAACAAATATGGAGGATGTTTAATAAGAAATACTAAATCCAAGAGTAGAAATGGACCCAGTGAAACAAACTAATTTAACTCATGGTTGTCTTTTTTCTTCTACCCTATCAAAAATGACTAAGTTACAGGAGATTCTAGAGAATAGATTCATATTTAATCAAAGGCATTGAGGAAAGCTAGAAAATAGCCCAGGGTGAATCAAAGTGAGAGAGAAAAGGAGTTGGAGTGAAAGGCAAGAAAATAACAATTTTTATTAGTTTCCTTGAAGAAAAAAATCACAACCCTAAGAATATTTATAACTGCTTTCCCAGAAAATCTGAATTTACATATTAAAAGGGTTCACTAGGAAGAGGGAGAAATAAACTCGAAGATAAAATCTTCAGGACCTCCAGGCAAAAAAATTTAAAAAGGGCATTAGATTTCTCAAAGAAAGGTAATATGGAACAACATTTCCAAGAAATATAAGGAAAAATGTGAAATAAGGATTTTATATCCAGCCAAAATATCTAGCTATTACCAAAATTATAAAAAACATTTTCTGTACTACATACATGTGCCCTTCCTAAGGAATCCCCTAGAGTTGTACAGTCATATATAGAATTTCTATATTAGAAATGTCCAAATGCTGTCCAAAATGGTAGCCACTAGCCATATGGCTTCCATGAGTACTCAAAATCTGTCTAGCAAAATACAGGAACTTTTAAATGGCTGTATGTGTCCACTGACAACCTTATTGAGTAATATAGTATAGAAGGATGAACCTTGTTCAATTAAGAGATGTCTGGGAATTAAAAGAGAATAAAATCATGGCATTGCAGGTAAATGGATGGAGTTAGAGAAGATAATGCTAAGTGAAGTAAGCCAGTCTCAAAAAACCAAAGGCCAAATGTCTTCTCTGATATGGAGATGGGGGTGGGGCCAAACATKAAGGAATAGATGAACTTTAGATATAGAGGAGGGAGGGATAATGAGATGGACTTTATTATCTTAAGTACATGTATAAAAAACAGGAATGGTCTGACCATTCCTGTTTGTGTTCAATCAGACATGAAAAATTATGCTCTATTTGTGTAATATGAATTACATTCTSCTGTCATATAACTAATTAGAATAAATTTTTAAAAGATGGCTGGGAAAACTTTGGCGAAGGACTGATGGTGAACATGTCATTTATTTAATTTGGGGCTAAGACTTAAGGTGAGGATGTAGAATATAACTTAAAAAATTGGTACTAAGGGCTGTAGCTCAGTGGGAGAGTGCTTGCCTTCCAGGTGGGAGGCACTGGGTTCAATCTTCAGCACCACATAAAAAAAATACACAAATAAAATAAAGGCATGCTGTCTATTTACAAAAAAAAAATTTTTTTTAAAAATTGGTACTAAAGGAGGGGGTAAAATCATTGAGTCTTACACCGAAAGTAGATTATAGGATMCCATTTAAAATTGTTAGACACGGGCTGGGGTCCTGGCTCAGYGGTAGAGTGCTCGCCTAGCACATGCAAGGCCCTGGGTTCAATCCTCAGCACCACATAAAAAAACAAAATAAAGATTGTGTACAATTAAAAAATAAAATTGTTAGACTATATTACAAAGGGGTTAAAGATACAAAGGAATTAATAGCACCACAAAAGTTATTAAGGCAAGAATATTCTTTAGAATAAAAATGAAAACCTTTCTAAATATCCAAATTTTTTTCAGAAAGCAAAGAGAAATAAATCTTTACTAATAAAAATAAAAGAAAGAGGGCTGGTATATAGCTCAGAGGTGCAACACTTGCTTAACATGTGCAAGGCCAAGTTTTATTCCCCCTGCACCATGTAGCAAATAACTAAAAAGAATGAAAATAAATGAATTCCTAACTGAAAGTCTAGGAAAAGAACAAAGTAAAACCTAAACAAAACAGAAAAGCAGATTTAACAAACCTAGTTCTTTAAGAAAAAAAAAGAACCATTAGCTTTTGAATCAACAAGAGCACATGCACAAAATGAATGACAAAAAGGACAATTTTTTTAAAGCTACTTTGTAATATCTGTGTATATAAATTTGAAAACCAAGTCAAACTGGGTGATTTCCTAGGAAAATATAGTATACCGGAACTAACCCCAGCAAAGATGGCATGTAAAGAGACCAATTTCTGTAGAAGAAAGAGAGAACAGTTATCAACTACCACATAAAATAGAAGCAACATGGGKCTAGTGCTAAGAGAAATTGAACTAAATATTGAAAATCCACATGTAGTCCCAGCGCTCCATAAATTGTTTAAACATAGCAAGTGGAAGAAAAAATTCCCAATTTTTTTTTTTTTTTAATCAACTTCTAACACTGGTAGCTAACCAACCTGATTCAGGGTAGCATATTAAAATAGACTAGTAATACTTAAGAAATTTGATTCAAAAATCTCAAGTGGACAGATTCTCAATAGAACTTTTAGAAGATAATACATGTTGGCTGAATGTAAGGATGATCATTTGGAAGTCTATTTACATAATTTATTTCACTAATAGGTCTTTATATCATTATCTTCATATGTGCCAAAAAAGGCTTTGATAAAATACATATGAATTTTAGTCCTTAATCCAGATCTGATATAGGGGAGGCCCCAGAGATCACTAAGGAATGAAACAAAGATGCCTATTATCTCCACTGCCATTAAACATTATTCTAAAGGTAATGGCCAATGTAATTAGATAGGAGAAGGCAAAGATAGAATTACAAAGAAGAATGCTGTAAATGATGTTGACAGTGTGTGTACCTAAAAAAATGTATAACATCAATAATTCAAACAAAAGAATGTCAAGATAGCAAGATATAAAATTAATATACAGCACTCACTAGATTGACAGGCATAAATAATCATCCGGAAAATTTCATTATAAGAAGGGATAAAGGGTTTGAAATCTGAAGGAAAATAAAACAGTACTCAAATATATCTGAACAAATAGATACCTGTTGATTTTAGGAAGCCTCAACATCATTAAGGTCAATTCTCCCTAAGTTATAAATTTAGTGCACTCCTAATTTAAAAAAATGCCAAGAGACTTTATTATGGAGTCAGGCAAGTTTATAATAATGTTCATTTGGAAAAATAGATAAGAATAGTGACTGCTAATGAGTTTCTTTTTGGAGTAATGAAAATATCCTAAAGTTAATTATGGTTGTGGTTGTACAACTCTAAATATACCTTAAACCATTTAGATGAGTGAATTATTATTTTTAGAAAACATGCAAGAATATCTGAGAATAGATTGCAAAGGAAGAATTATGTGGGGGGTGGGGGAGATACTAGTCCTACCAGATATTAAAGCATACATTATGTTTAAATTATGTGATAGCGGTATATAAATAGCCCACTGAAACAGACTAGAAGRTCTAAAAATACATTTGGAAATCTAGTACATGATAAAGATGGCATCTCAAGTCACTGGGGCAAAAGTCACCTTCTTAATAAATGGTGTTGAGGGGCTGGGGGTGTGGCTCAAGCGGTGGCGCGCTCGCCTGGCATGCGTGCGGCCCGGGTTCGATCCTCAGCACCACATACCAGCAAGGATGTTGTGTCCGCCGAGAACTAAAAAATAAAAATTCTCTCTCTCTCCCCTCTCTCACTCTCTCTTTAAAAAAAAAAATAAAAAAATAAAAAAATAAATGGTGTTGATAAAGATAAAATTCAATCTCTTATCCCACACACAAGAATGGACTGAAGATGAAACCATGTGAGTACTAGAAGAAAACATGGATGAAATCTAATTTGAGTCCAGGGAAAGGTTTTCTAATTAGAACTTAAAATCCATACTGCAGTTTAAAATTTGGGTAAAAATAAACTCTTGATGACAAAGAAAAACAAGTCAAATAGCAAATGATAAACAGATATTTGTGAACTGCGAGAAATTTGCATATCACAAAGAGCCAAAATAAATTAAAACTAGGAGGTTTTAATGCAGACTTATAGGTTTCTAAAATATGGATAGATAGGTGGGTATGCAAATATGTAAGTAGGTATATGTAGAAGTAGAAGCATTGGCACCACATTAATAGTGGAGACATATGTTGTTGTCTAAAACACATGCTTTTCCTCAAATAACTGGCCAAGCCAGGTACAGTGGCATAAACCTGTAATTCCAGCTACTCAGGCTGAAGCAGGAAGATTACAAGTCTGAGACCAGCCTGGGCAATTTAGCAAGACCCTGTCTCAAGATAAATATAAAAACCAGGGATATTGCTCAATGGTGGAGTGCTTGCCTAGCATGCAAGAGGCCATGGGTTCAATCCCCAGTAATGAAGAGGTCAGGGGGTTTTGTGGAGAAAGACCGCTGGTTTTATGGCTGGAGCAAGGAAGGTATAAGATGAGCCTGGAACATAATATTGCTAGAAAGTGAGGAAGGTATTTCATGAGGACCTAGATTGAAGGGACTCTGGCTCATCTGGGGAAGTTTGCCAAGTAAAAAAATGGACAAAAATGAATTGGATATATTAAAAAATGAGGAAGAAGGGAGGGCATTTCTTATAGAACAAAGATAACTGGTAAAGGTGGAGGATATGTTGGAGTTGGAAACTCTTCATTTTACAACTATATGAATAATGAAGATTGGTTTAGGCAAGAGTCATCATTAGCTTTTAAGTCTAAGTGAAAGTTTGGGTGAAGAGCACCATACTTGCATGGTTTTAAAGTGTTTTCCTAAAGATGTTTTTTCATTGCAAGGCAGTAGTGACTATATCATGGCAAAATGGAATGATATTTTCAAAGGATGGATCACACTTAACATCAACAGTAAAGACCAGATGGAGATTACTTACATGAGAGGTGTGATACTCTGAAAGACACAACACTATTTAGAGTACTGTTTGATCCATGAATGTGTATCATAAATCTAGTTATGAGGAAACATTAGATAAACCCAAAATGAGAAACATTCTATTTTTAAAAGAGCTTTAAAAAAAAAAAAAAAAAAAAGACTCCATATAATTTTGAGGGTATGTTAAGGGACACAGGAGCCAACTAACAGAGCTCCCAGTGGCCATCACAGAAGCAATGTGAGCAACAAGTACAGTGGTAATTACATTATAACTCAAAGTAAAAAAATAAATATTCTTGAGTTCATACTGATATAAATAATTGAATAAGCCTGGCACAGTGGTATACTCCTATAATCCCAGAGGCTGAGGCAGGAGAATCGGATTCAAAGCCAGTCTCAGCAAGAGTGAGACACTAAGCAACTCAGTGACACCCTGTCTCTAAATAAAACACAAAATAGGTCCGAGGATGTGGCTCAGTGGTTTGAGTGTCCATGAGTTCAATCCCCAGTACTTCCCCCGCCAAAAAAAATAATAATGAATAAGTAAATGGGTCAGAAGAGACAGATCTGTGCAGAGTTAACTACTTCAACTATGAGCTTTACAAAGTAACTTCTAAGGAATTCAGGTATAAAGAAGAAAGTTTTAGTGCAGAAACCTGTCAGAACATTATCTTAGCCAGGTAATGAAGGTTATTAACAAGGATAAATCACATTGACTTGCATTCTTGATACAATGTGAAGAGAATGGTACTTTCTGGTCTTCCTCCCCAAAATACATAACTCATCATGAGAGAAGCAGATAAAACCCAACTGAGGGACTTTTTTACAAAGTAGCCAACTTGAACTCCTCAAAACTGTCAGGGTCAATAATAAGGAAAGTCTAAGAAACTGTCACAGCCAAAAGGAGCCAAGGAAAATGACTATTAAATGTAACATGATACCCTAGATGGGATCCTAGAATAGGAAAAGGACAGATAAAGTTGAATATATGAATGTTGGCAATATTATTTATTTATTTATTTTTTTAGAGAGAGTGAGAGAGGAGAGAGAGAGAATTTTTAATATTTATTTTTTAGTTCTTGGCGGACTTGTTGGTATGTGGTGCTTAGAATCGAACCCGGGCCGCACGCATGCCAGGCGAGCATGCTACCGCTTGAGCCACATCCCCAGCCCTGGCAATATTATTTATAATGGCTAAAAGATGAAACAAATGCAAGTGTCTATCAGCTGATGAATGGAGAAGGAAAATGTAGTCTCTCTAAACAATGGAATCTTCAACCTCAAACATGAAGTATTGATATATGTTGCAACAATGGAAGAACCTCAAACATTATGCTAAGTGAAGGAAGCCAAGAAAAAAGTCAGATACCACATGATTCCATTTGTATGCTATCAGAGAGGTAGAAAGTTAGATTTAAGTAGTTGCCAGGGGATGGGCAGAAGGGAATGGCTACTACTTCCAGAATGAACTTAGATAATGAAATTATCTAATGGAACTATCTGGATTTAGATAATAGTGATAATTAATCAATCTTATAAATATGCTAAAAACCTACATACATGCTATACACGTAGCATATAAACCTATAAGTATGCTAAATCCCATGTGCATCTATATTTCTGTGTTTAAATTGGCATACAAACATACCTGAAGAAAAACACAAAAGATGTGTTGGTCTTTGGGAAGGAGAATGTCTGCATTATACTTCCCTATATTTGTTTATTTTTGAAATCTTTGCTTTTATTGTTGAATAAGGTAGAGTACATGTGTTGAACATACTTCTCTGTATTTTTATAATTAAAAGAATTAAAGCGGGCTGGGGATGTGGCTCTGTGGTAGAGCCCTTCCCTAGCATGTCTGAGGCACTGGGTTCGATTCTCAGCACCACGCAAAAATTAATGAAAAAAATAAAGATACTATGTCCATCTACTACTATTTTTTTTTTAATATAGCGTTTGCATCTTGGGAAAAAACTCAGTACCAAAACAACTAAAACACTTTGTAGAAGGTCACTACTAATGTTTAGAGATATTGAGAAAAACAGTTTACAAAATAGTATTATACATATTTAATGCTAGTGTCCTTTATATATTCTATGTCTTTAAAAAATCCTAGAATGAAAATGCTGTGCCCTTTTCTTTGTATTTTCCTAATTTACATGTATGACATGGAAACAGGAAAAAATGAAAATATTTTGGTTTTATTACAGTTGAAGTTCTTTACTGTTTTCAGTGATAACATGCTTACCTTTGGGAGTGGTAGCTACTTACCTGGGTGAGTAGGGATAGGTAGCAAGAGAAGAGATCCATTCTCTCCTGCCAGGATGTGGTTGAGGTAGAAGATTCTGTACTTTGATAGGTAGTTGCTTCATGCTTTGGCACCTGTAGTGATCATCATGTAATGTTGGGTCTCCTGCAGGTGCTACACTATCTAGCATTCCAGAAACCTGCAGACCTTGCTCGGCACCTGTTACCTTGTGTGATTCATGCAGCTGTACTCAAGGTAAAGGAAGAAGGTAAATATCTTATTTGATTAGTAATTAATTCATTTCTAAAATGTAAGTGTATAAGGCTTAATTTATTTAACAATGGATTTGATCTTTTTAAAAACCAGAAAGTCTGGAAAATATTTCTTCTGTTAAGAAGATTATAAAGCAGATCATATCTCATTCCAGTAAAGTTTTGCACTTCCCCAATCCAGAAGACAAGAAATTGGAAGTAAGTTTGGTATAGTTTCAGAATCTTGCCAAATGTTCATCCCACTTGGCAATAATTATTTTAAAGAAATGTTTTTAAATGGTTTTGCTTTTTGCTGTTTTTCAGTGTACTTCTCCCTTTTCCTGTTTTAGGAGATCATCCATCAAATTACTAATGTTGAAGCTATAATTGCTAGAGCCCGGTCCCTGAAAGCCAAGTTTGGAACTGAAAAATGTGAACAAGAGGAGGAAAAGGAAGATCTTGAAAGGTAATCACAATTTAATTATCTCAGTTTTGTCCTTTTAACCACCATTCTCTTTAGAAAATTTAGAATACTGAAATTATTTTGTGGTATTCATACATTATTTGAAACAAGCATTCACTAGAGAGAGAATTAATTATCCTAGGATTTGACCTCTGCTCTTAACTTTTACTGGGTGTTTCCTTTTCTTCCATTTTCAGAAACTGTCTAGCAGAGCCTCTTTTTCTAGGGTCCTTTGCTCCTGGAGATGTGGTGCCTGAGGTTTCCTGTAGCAGAGCTGTTAACTCCATTATTTGTAGTGTCCCATATGTGGTTCTCAGCAGTCCCTGTTCCTTGACCATAGCACAGTGTTCCGGAACTATACATCTACTCACTATTCCTAGTTATTTTAAACAATATTTGTCATAGCAAAGGCACGTATCTTACAAATGTTTTGGAAGAGTGACCATATGGCTTGTCCCAAATAAGGCAAATGATTGGGGCAGCCTCTCCCTCTTTATGAGACAACATTTTTACCTGTAGAGTCTGTCACTGTGAGCTTCTGTCCATTTTTGCCCCTGTTACTTGAAAGTACAGTGTTTTGATGTGACACAAGGTTTCCCAGTTTTTCATAAGAAATCATTGATGTTAAATAAAAGCTATTGTAAATGCTTTGTCATATATTATCAAGTTCTTGTTTGAATTTGTATCTTTTGTTGAGTGAAAATTTCTCTCAGCCTACTTTACTCTTGAAAATGTCTTCCTTTTAAATGAGCAGAACAAGCTCTAATCAAGGGAATCATTCCTGAAATAGCAGTATGAATTAGTGAGCAGGTGGTGTTGCTTGGTGGCTGTGTGCCTTCGACTGTTAGTTCCACTGTACACTGTGACACGCTTTGAAATTCAGTGTTTCTAGCACATCGTGGCACAGCTTACAACTGCAGCTATGCCCAGTAAAAACAGATTTTTAAGCACACACACTTAAAAAAAAAAGAAATATGGATCATTGCTTTGCTAGATAAATAAAATTTGGTTTCTATGGTCTAAAAATCCTTATTCTGATCTTCAATATAGCATTTCCCAAATTTCTAGTATGAAACAAATAGACTGAATATTTCTTACATTGACAGAGATAGGCTTTTTAGAACTTGTAGGAAAACAAAAGCAGTAAGATTGTCAGTTAATTTTAATTCTAAATGTCCTGTCTAGCCTATGAAATTTCCACTCCGGCATTAGTAAGTTTAACCAATATTAAATTTTATTGATAAGTCCTCAAATTATCTGAGACAATGCAAACAGTATCCTGAGCAGCTGCTCCCCATCCATTCACCACTTTTTTCTCCTAGGTTTGTGAGTTGCCTGTTGGAGCAGCCCGAAGTGTTAGTCACCGGGGCAGGAAGAGGACACGCTGGAAGGATCATTCACAAGTTGTTTGTGAATGCTCAGAGGGTATGTGAGACTCCTTACTGACTATGGTGATCTTACCAGACCTCTGTTTGGGAAGATGTCATTTTGAGCTGCTAAGAGACAATGACTCTGACTTCTGAGTCTGAACTCAGAAGTTTCCTACATATTTAAGTAAGATAAGTACATCTTAGGAACTGAATTTCAGAAACTAGAAGTATGAAATCCATTGTTATAGAAACTGAACATAACTATGCTATGGAAAACAAAAGCCTCCTACTTTCAAATTACAGTTCAGTTTTAGACTGATGGAACTTTAATTAGAGTTCCATCTTTAAACCCTACATACTTCAAAACAAATTCATAATTCAGTCTGAATTGTAACTCTAGTCTAATAACAGTGAAGAGATCTAAATTTAGAGATTTCCTAGAAGATTTCCTTTCTGGAAGACAATGATTTCAAGTTTTTTTACTACTATGGAAATTTAGGCTTCAGCACGGAAAGAAAGCCCAATTGAAAAATTGTCATCATTACCTACTAGTGAAAGAAAGTTTTTATTCTTACATAGTACCTTGGTTACTGTTAACCAGGTACTGGCTTCCCACAAATAATAATTATTTCAGGGCGCATTACTATTAAAGTATTATGATGTGCACTAAATACAGGTTCCCGTGACCTGGGAATATGATGACACTGGAAACCAAACTGATTCAGTGTTGAGAGTGTAATTCTTGTAAGCAAAGATTTTCATTGGTCTACACATGGAACAATCCCTGCTGAGTCGGTCTGGAGTACTTCTAGTTAGAATATTCAAAATTATGGTCAAATATTTTGATCCAAATTGTTTGCAACTGCTAACAGATTATTTGAGGAGTAGGTCCCTAAATTTAATAATTTCAAGTTAAAAACCAAATATTTTGTTTCCTTTTAAAAGTCTCGAAAACAATAGATGCTTGCTTTGTTTCGTTTTCTGGCATGAAAATGAGTGGAATTGGTTTTCACATCCTTCACCAGCTTCCTATGCAGAATTTTACAGGCCTGTGTCCTTATTAATCATTACTATGAATTTTCCTCAGCAAAACTTTGATTTTTTTTTAATTTTTTGTTGAGACTTTAAAATTTAATGTGTTTATACTTTGTGTTGGAGAATTACTTGTTTTGTATACTAAAGCAAAATTATTTAACATGAAAATAATCTCCTTTCTCCCTCCTCCAACTATGCATAGACTGCATTTTTTATTAAATTTGACAATGCAGAAAATTACAAAGAAAAAAATGACAAACATCATTGGGTAGGAAAACTTATCAACATTTAAACATAGTCTTGCTTTCAAAATTAGTAAACAAAGCAATGYGTTTTCAGTGTCTGATTGTATAGCTAATGCCCTTTAATGGACACTGCAATTATAAATTCAGCCCACGTTGTGTAATTTTTTAAAAAAGATTTCAATTTTGTAGACCCTGCAGTGTGTATGTTTAAAGAATTTGTAGACTTGTATAATTCATATAACAAGCATCTGGTTGGTACATTTTTAAACTTGGCTCAAATATCTGGCTAAACTGTTGAAGTTTATTCATGTGAATTCTTCATAATTGACACTTCATATCAATTTTACAAATAAATCAAGATTTTAACATTTTTAAAAAGTTATGATATTTCACTGAGAATTCTACAGCCTATAACATGTATTTAAAACTTSTTTAAAATTACAATTTTTATAAACTTAATTATAGGTATGTACATCTTTAAATGGAATTCAGCACAAAATGATTTTTGCTTTAGTTTTGCCAAGTCCTAGACATTTATTCACATTCACTGGAACATCTATTTTTCAAGCAGTACACACTTTAGGCAATAAATTCAGAAAGAGCTAGGCTTTTGTTAAGATCATTTGCTCATTAAATGACACCCTGTCACCTGTTGAACCATCAGTTGCATGAGTAGTGGGATGTGTCTGTTCTTATTTGACAGCTAGGTGTGTTATGTGGTGTGACTTTATTCATCTTAAAATATTCTTTTGATAGGATCATGTTTCTTAATGTAGTGCATGCTGTCTTGGAAATAATCTTGAAAGCTCTTGTCTAGCTCTTTTTAAACCATCTTGCTTGTTCCCTTTCATCACTGTTTCTTTTCTCACTCTTTCTCAAGCTGACTGAATCTTCTGATGAGGTAACAAAATAGCTTTTGTCCCTCATAGTTCCTTGTTCCTTCCCATCCCTCTAACTTCATAAGGTCATTTAAACTAACCACCTAACAGTCTGGATTTGGCATAACTTTCCTGCTGGTGTTTAGCTTAACATGATTCATGTTTCCATTGACAAACCAATTACTCTTTTTTTCCAAAGCAATGGTACCATGAAAGTATAGTGGCCAGAGTTTTTAAAAAGGCTCTTATTTTGTGCAATGATAATGAAAAAATTGATGCCTTTGAGATCATCTACTCTTTTGTGGCCATTGCTATATGGACCTCTGTCACTTCTGTAGTGCATTAACTGCCCAGCAAACAAGACCAATGTCCCTGGTTTTCATTTGGTAAGTTAACCTTACAAAGAATTGATTGAAAGGGTAGAGATAAAAATCTTTCCAGACTCTGGAGAGAAGATAGCTCCTTACCAACTTGGAACTCTGACTTGGACTTGGGTCATTGCTTCAAGAAACAGAAACCGGCACAGCTCCATGATTCCTTTTCATAAGATGTCTGAACATAGCCCTCACTTTTCAAAGCAGATTGCCTGGCGGTCGTTTCCTTTCTGCCTATTACCAGGCTCATGCAGTGTTTCAAGCTTCTGGCATTTTCTGTGTTATTTATTTTGAGCAATCATAACATAGCTAACTGCATTACTGAGTAATGTAGGACATTTTTATGTATATATCACATTCATCTGTCCTCAAAAGTACCCGAGTCAAACTCAAGAACAAGTCGAATGTTAATCCTTTGATTCTATTCAAGGCTGCAGCCATGGCTCCACCAGAGGAGGAACTGAAGAGAGTGGGCTGCCCAGAGGAAAGAAGGCACAACCCAGTATCTGACTTCCCTGCTCCTGCTGGCCGGGAACTCATCTTACGCACCACCGTGCCGCGCCCCGCACCCTACTCCAAAGCTCTGCCTCAGCGGATGTACAGTGTTCTCACCAAAGAGGACTTTAGACTTGCAGGTGCCTTCTCGTCAGATACCTCCTTCTTCTGAGTCTCCTAAGCATTACCTCAGTGGGGCTTCAGAGGCACCGCCACCTGCTTCCACAGGAACAAGTGCCAGGAAAACCCGAGAGGCCCCACATAGGTGGCCCTGCACAGCTGAGCGATCAAGAATCACACCAGCATCCGAAGGACTTTGCAGCACCAAGCTTAGGCTCTCTTGTACCTTGAYGGGGGCAGAGGGAATGGGCTTCAGTTGTTGAAAAGATTTCTGACTCAAAGAAATGGACTTTGAGTATGGGGGTAAACCAAAAATCAGGAGAAGCTCTTTGTCCTCACTCATCTGGGATACTTTTTATCTCATTCTCCTCTGTGACTGTCCTCTGGGCCACTACCTTGCACTCATAGTCTGTAAACAGTTAATGGTTGTATTTATTAGGATCAGGAATGCAAAGATAGAATATCTGTTAACTCAAATTTCTGGATATTTTGGTGGTAGCTTCTAGTCCCAGAATCTGTTTAATTCACTACATACATGTCCATATTCTGTTTGTTCAATCATCTGGTGGTCATCTGTATTATACTAATTAACTTTTGATGAACATTTAGAATATTCTAGGAGAAAGCCTAGAACTTCACTTCGTTTTTCCATGTAACTGTAACCTAAATGTACTCCTTCTGGTGAAACAGTACATTAAATGTCACTGTACATTAGTTCTGCATATATTGTGAAAGATGTTTTGTCATTGGTTCTCCTTTGGGTTGCCCAAATTACCAGCCTGTAAAGTTCTCCCTTCTCTTGCAATGCAGCATGCCGTCTTCTTTGGTGGTTGCTGCTGGGYACTGTGTTTAATGATGTAGAGATGAGCACATGCTAAAAATAGAGCCTTGTTACATAGACTATCATGCAGTTAGTATAATTTGGTATATGTGCTAATGTAATGAGTAGAGGATTACTTTAATGCACTATTTTGCTTTTGCATTTTAGTTAAAATGAAAATAATCTCTGGGGATGTATAGCACCCAGGTTAAGGATAACACCACTGTATTTCTAGTTTTGTGAGGACTAGGATGTATTAAGTCTATGATGCTATGTGGCCTCTTGTTTAGCAATCTTATTTTTAGGCCTAAAATTTCCACTTTAATCCAAAGTAAAAATAAATATACTGAAGCCTAATTGTTCCTGTGTACCTTTAAAGGATTGCTAGAGTTGTGCAAATTGTTATTTTTGTTTTAAAAAAAAGTCTATACACACAAAAATATATAGTATATATTGCACACATGTGTCTATGTGAACAGGACAGAAGAATGGCATGGTTGGTGACCTCCCAACCTTTACAGTGCTTTTCTGAGATGCTAGATTTTGTTGCTACCGCCAAACAACAGATGCAGGACTGGACCAAGTACAAGACATTTCTCTTAAAGACAATTTGTCTACTTTCAAAGAATGTTAAATACTCTTATGGAGAGATGGGTTTTAAAACAGTATTGTGAAACTAATAAAAGGAGAATGTTGTTTCTATGGCTAATTTTCGTTTCTCCCTTCTGAGGAACATTTCAGTCTTATTTTATTTAGCTTTGTGCCATGTCAAGCCTTTCATTAAGATTTGCATCCTGGGGTTGTGGCTCAGTGATAGACCACTTGCCCTGCACGTGTGAGGCACTGGGTTTGATCCTCAGCACTACATAAAAATAAAAGGTATTGTGTCCATCTACAACTGAAAAAAAAAAAAAAAGATTTCCATCCTCTTGCTGTCTGCAGTGGGACATACCTGTAATCCCAGCAGCTCAGGAGGATCGCAAGTTTGAGGCCAGCCTTAGCAACTTAGTGAGATCCTGTGTTAAAATAAAAAGGGCTGGGGATGTGGCTCAGCAGGAAAGCACCTGGGTTCAATCCCCAGTATCCCACCCCCAAAATAAAACGCAACCTGTTGAGTGTTACCCAGCAATGGTCTCAGAACATTATGCCTTTTTAAAAGGTGATTACCTTATTTTCATTATGTGCCTCTTTATTTCAAGCATTTTAAAGGATCAGGCACCATACTCGGCATTAAGGCAAAAACTACAATACCCTCTTTTCTATGACCTTCCTGTTATATAGGGAAGACATTGCCATAGAATGGAGAACATAGGGTGTGAGTGAGAGTTCTGATGTGTATTAAATCCATTTGTATGTTCATTAGAGACATGCCATGATTAGTATAAGGTATTCTGAGAAATAATTTTCACTCAGGCTCAGAGAATCAGGAAAATCCTCCCAGAGAATGTGATTTCTGGATTAAAATCAGAAGTAGGAGTTGCAAAGGAGTGGGAAGCACAGAAAGCTTTGCTAAGAACCACAGTAATTCTCCCATCTGGTGTGCTTGCCCCACTTCGCTGTGATTATTGCTGCTGCTCCCATCAGAAGTAAAGATTATGTCTCCACCCCTTCCATCTCTACTTAGCCATGTCTCTCTTTGGTCAGTGGGACATCAGCAAGTGTGATCATGCGGACATTTAAGTAGTACTTGTACATGTGGCCTGCCTTCCCATTGAGAACCTGAGACCACCAGCTTAAAGAGCCCCCCCCCCCAAGGATGAGAGCCAGGAGATGTGTTAAGCAGCACAGTGAACTGACAGGAGGGCTGGGGGTGGCAGAGACAGAGGAAGCAGCCTGGGCAGAAACCCTAAAACAAGAGAAAGTGCATGTTTAGGAAGCAGCCAGCATTTCAGTGGAGAGTACTGTCCAGAGCAGGAAGGGGCGAGAAATGAAAATGGTGAACTGAGGCAACATCAAGAAGTTCCAGGTAACCCCTAGCGAGAAATTCAGGCTTTATCTTCAGGGCAGTGTTGAGTCCCTGAAGGGTTTTCAAGTAGGGGAGTAGTGGTGGATTTTAACACTTCAGCAAGCAAATGGAGTGGAAAGGTTAAATATATACATACTCCAGATCTTTTGCCAAATTGTAAACTTGGAAAGAGGACAGAAATTATATATTGTTTTAACTTCCTATATGCTTTGTACTGTGCCCCAAAGAGATGCACAAATGCTTGTGGGACCAACATGGATTGGTCTCACTTTGAGGCTCTCCTTCACCTAAGGATCCCTATACCACCAAAATAATTCAGGTTGGAATTACTAAACCCTAAGCCTTTATATTTCGTTCATTAGTCCAGCAAATACTGAGTGCCTCCTATGTGCCAGATACTGCTGTAGGTACTGGGGAGACTGGCATGAGCAGAACACATGAAAGGCCTTGCCCTCATGGGGGTGACTATGAGAGATGCCAAGAATAAACCCTGAGAAAGAGAGGAGAGGGCACTCTTCAGATTGAGGGGTTGGCTTGTGAGGTGGAAATGTTTGAGCAGAGACCTGAATAAAGTGAGGCAGCAGGCCTTATGAAGAGAGATCAGGGAGCTACTTTCAGAGAAAATGGCAGTGTAAAACCTTAAGCAGGGAGGATAGGTGGTGTCGCGCAGGCACAGCAGAGAGGCCTATGCAGCAGGCACAAACTCTGTGAAGGGAACCAATGGAGGAAAGAAGGCTGGACAGATGCACAAAGTCCAGATTACATCATACCTTAGGCGTTTGGGTCTGTTTTCTTAGCTGAAAGGGGCAGCCAACCAAAGGTCTGAATGGGSCTAGTGAATTTTTAAAACCTGCTCTTTGGCTACTGTGTGGAGAATATGCTGCTTGGGTGGGATGGAAGCAGTAAGCAAATTAGGAGAGGTGACGGCTTGGGCTGGAGTGGTAGCAGTGGGAGGGGTCAGAGTGCTCAGATGTGGGATGTGTCTTGACAGCAAAATGCACAGAATTTGTTTATGGGTTCAACAAAGGCAATAGTCAAAGATGACTTGGAGGTTTGGGTTCTAAACCACAGCGTTACTGTCATTTACTGAGATAAAGATGGGGAAGAGCAAGTTTGGAGCTTATCTGAGATTGTGAGTTAGGACATGTTAATTATGAGATATCAACTAGACCCCTGTGGTACCCATTCTCTGCAGTGACTCAGTGGTCCCTGCCTCCTGCCTCTGCAATACCCCTGCACCCTCCATTGTCCCAGGATTGTTCTGTGACCAACAGAATATGTAATAAATGTGGGCATATCACTTCAAGATCAGATTATAAAAGACACTGCTACTTCTGTTTTGGTCTCTCCCTCATCTGGCAGGAGTCAACTGCTTTGTCACAAGCAACCCTAGGGAGGGGCCCATCATGTGGGAAATCAAGGACTCCTGCGAGAGCCCTGTGCATAAGCTTGGAAGTGGATCTTCTCTGGATGATTGCCGCCTGCTGACCAGAGCCACTCGACTAGACTGTTCCCAGATTGCCAACTCTCAGAAATTGTGGGATATTAATTCCAAGCTGCTAGACTTGGGAGTAATTTGTTGCATAGCACTAAATAACTATTACCCAAGTGGTTAGTTATGTAAGTTTTGAGTTTAAGGAAAAGGTTATGGCTGGTTATAAATCATGCAAGAGACAGTCTAAGACCACCTAAAAAGTGATCTCACGGGGAAGAGTGCAGGGGTTTGAGTCAGAGACAAGAAAGAGGACCAGCAGAGGGAGTGGCTACTGGGGTAGGAAACCATAAGTGTGCTGTTCTGGAAGCCAAGAGAAAAATACTTCAAGAAGGTGGGAGCCGATCAACTGTGTCAAACGCACTGGAGACATCAAGATGAAGATTGACAGTTACATATCTGTAACTCAGTAAGAAATCCAGAGCGGTAAACTGAAGTTCTTACTGGGAAAGGATAGAGAAGTGGCCGCCAAGGGGCAAGTTTGGCATGCCCTAGGCCCTCTCCAGGCTCTGGCAGGTGCACTTGAAGCTTACTCCTTGCTTTTGTTTGTTGTGCACTGTTCCCTGTCAGGAATGGTGGGGAGGATATGCAAGAGGGGAAGCCACTGTCCACTCTATTTCAAACTCTTACATAATCCTACCTACTGCCCCTATTCTGGCTGCCAGCTCCTTTTTTCTGGGCACACTGTAATGGATGCCTCTGTGGAAAAAGAAGCCCACTACTGTGTTTGAATCTCCTAGCCCCTTTAATTTGGGGCCACTGGGCACCAAGGAACTAGAACACTTCAGAATATCAGCTCCTTAAATACAAAGAGCTGCTGTGGCCCTTCTCCAGCTTTGGGGAGTGGGACTTGGCCACTTGGAACATACACTAAATCTGGGTCATGTGAGCACAAACCTCTTTGCAGCACTCTTCCCCTAGCACTTGGGAGGTCTGACAGGTGCTGCAGGGAGTGTTCCCAGGCTAGCTCATCAGCCAAGGCAGGCAGCCAACAGGCAGCCCCATACTTGGGCTCTGGTTCCTCAGGGTCAGAGCCCAGCAGCACAGGGCCTCAGGCCCCACTTGGCCAAGACCTCACTTTAACTCAGGGGCTCCCTGCTGCTGCCAGCTGAATGAGCCTATAAGGAAGGCTTTTTTTAAAAAAAAATTACACACACACACACACACACACACACACACACACACACTTACTTCTTCTGTCAGGCTGGGTCCAGATGGGTTTTATCTTATACAAAACCAGATGGGAATCTTTGGGTTTTGTTCAGTTTACAGGTTTGTCCTCATCTTGACCCAGAACAAGGTGGGGATGGGAGTGGGTGAGGTGTTCAGAGATGGGACTGGGCTAGATCACACCAGAGGAGCTGCCAGCTGGGCTGGAGCAGGTGAGCTGGTTCTTGTCTGTGGTGCTTAGACTGAGAAGAGGTATTTCCTAAGAGAACAAATTGTAGCTGTGGTATTAGGTTCCTAGGGATGCCCTGATGAAGTGTTACAAACTGGCCCACTCAACCCCTGGTTCTGAGGCTTCCAGTGTGGGATGAAGGTGTCCACTGGGCTCCCTGCTAGCTAGAGGGAGAGCCCTCTGCCTCCTCTTAGCTTCCGCTGGTCACCCACATGGAGCTGCAGGTGCTGCAGGCTCCGCTCTGTCATTAAGGATCTCTCCTCCTGTGACTCCAGTCATGTTGGCCTCAGGACCCAACCTGCCCCACTAGGACCTCACCTTAACCACTGATGTCTGCAGTGACCCTATTTCCAAACAAGGTCACATCCCGAAATACTAGGGGTTAGGATTTTTGTTTGTTTAAATGGATGTAGGGCAGCCACTGGCCAGACAGATGCCCATCTTTGGCTGGTGTAAGCCATGAGCCTGCTGTATGCCATGAGCCTGMTGTATAAAAGCATGGGTCCTGGTTCTGGAAAGTTCAGGTTCAGACCCCAGCCCTCCTTACCAGCCAGC